CTCACATACATAAGATCGCCCAAACTCTCTCTCACTGTCTCAGTTCTCTAAATGTTCCCACGCAACGTTAGCACTTTGACTCCACAGCAATCAACATTGTTGCTTACTTCGCCATGGACGAACTCATCTTCACTACCTCGGACGACAAGCTATTCCTCTTCCGATCCGCAGTTCCCGAACCTACCCCGTTCGTTACATCACCCCCTTGACGGTGTGTTGCGACCACAGTCCTTCATCCCCAGATTGGTTTTCTACTCTACTCTACAAGGCCCAGCTCTTTCGGCTCCACACGGCCTCAGTCTCAGCTACACGTAGCCACCCACTTCTGACTTCTCCGACAAGTGCCGCGCGGCCACAGCACGCCAATGACGTCACAACATCGGCTCCTCCCACCATACGGCCGCCCGCTCCTGGCTTCACTCAGGTCGTATTACCCTCTGTGCCTGTCCCCCATTGTCTGATGTTTCTAATTTGTTTTCCCTCTTCCTCTCATCCATGTCTCAGCAGGCTGCACTCCCTACCCATGCACGCACATCCCCTCATCCCTACATCCTTTCCTCTTCACTTCCTTCGGCTGCTACCAACACAGCCATCCCTTCCGAACATTTCTTTCTCTGCCATCCAACCCCTCCATTCCCCCTACCCTTCCCCCATACTCCAATGTGTTTTCTGTTTCCACAGAAAACCCAGGCTTCCGCGTACCGCACGCCTTACCCGTGACCACCGGCCCCTTCACGCTGGCTTCCGCTAACCCCTCATTTCACCCCCCCTCGGCCAGGCGCCCCTCACCGGTCTCACCTTCACTAAATCGATCCTATAGATGCTTACATTGACCTCGCTCTCCTATTCCTGCCATCCACAGTTCCTGCCGCCGGACCGAGGGAGCTCTCTTCACCGCAAGGTTTAGCCCAGCTCGTACAACCAGTCCCTTCTCGCTCCAGAGAACTTACAGCCGTCGAGTTCGCATTCGCCTTTTCCCTCTATCGTGACACAATTTGTTCAGTTTTCCTCCATCGCAGGGCAGAGCTGGACGATTATCTTTCCATCATCCTGGACTTGGCATTGCGGTTCGGCGGCACCAGGTTTTTCACTTATCACGTCCATTTTGCTTCCCAAGCAGCCAGCCACCTTCACCAGTTTAACCTAGGCACATACTGGGGAGCCATCGACACCGAACTCTACTGCAGGGTTTTTGCTGCTCGCTCCTCTCTCGCTTGTACCTTGTGCGGTGCCCCATCACACCCAGCATCCAGCTGCGTTATCGTCGCTCATGTTTCTCCCGCCCTCCCCAGTTACAACCCCACCTCCGTCCCTAGGCCCAGTTCCGCCGCTCCCCCACCTCCCCTCATTCCTAAACTTTTCGACAACCAGCAGACCAGTAGGCCTGCACCAGCTCTCGGTCCTCCCCCTCGCAGTTTGGACAAACGAGGCAGGCCCGTGCTCTTCCAGGGTGGCCGCATGGTGTGCAATAACTTCAACGACTTTGGTTGCATCATGTCAGGCTCCCGTTTTCGCCACACTTGCTCCTTCTGCGGTGGCACACATGCTCGTCATTGCTGTCCTCACAACCCCACCAAGCCCAGTCTATGACTAAGGCAATTTTTGAAGACACCCATAAATATCCCCGCCCTCGACCTCGCATTGGCGAACATCCCTGGCTGCCAGTTCGTGAACTTCCTCAACGGTTTCACTTGCGGTTTCCACCCAGGCATTGAGGTTTTTACTGACTATTCCTTCTCTTGCCACAACCTCCATGTCCGCCCTAGTTGAACCCGACATCGTGGACGAGCGCCTAGCCAAGGAGGTGTCAGATGGGTTCATGATTGGACCCCTCACCAATTCTCCCTTCCCTGTCCACCGGATTAGCCCCATCGACATTGTGACCCAGCAAGTACTCTGGCAAAAAGAGACTCATCATAGATCTATCTTCCCCCCATACCTAGCATCAACAGCTTAATACCCAGCCAGGAATTTTCCATCCACTATGCCACCATCGCTCAGGCCACCAACCTAATTCACCTCGCCGGCCCCGGAGCATGGTTAGCCAAGGCCGACATAACCAGCGCCTTCAAGATCTTGCCCATACACCCTGATTTCTGGCATTTGTTTGGCGTCTCCTGGAAAGGCTCCTTATACTTCTCCGTCCATCTCACTTTTGGGTGCAAGAGCAGCCCCAAGATCTTCAACTCACTTTCCGAAGCTTTGTGTTGGATCTTGCTCAATAACCACAGACTCCCGTACGTCATCCATCTTTTGGACGACTTCCTCATAGTCTCGCCCTCCTCTTATCCTCCAGCACACGGCCTTACCACACTGAAATCTGCCTTCCTCCAGCTCGGAGTCCCCCTTTCCCCGGAGAAAACCGCGGGAACCAGCACGTCTCTCGAGTTCCTCGGCATCACCCTGGACAAACTCCTACGCATATCTCTGTTAATCTCCAACTACCTCCTCGCCACCAGATGCACGAAGCGCCAGCTCCTCTTACTTCTCGGTCAACTCAACTTTGCTATTGGCATCATTCCACAGGGTCGTTCCTACCTCTCCCACCTGCTTTCGGTATCTGCAGCAGTTCCATCCCTTCACGGCTTCCTCACCATTGACGATGCTTGCCTTTGACGTCAGACCTCCTCGCCTGCTGCATCCTGACCCTTCCGGCCGGGTATCTCCCTTCATCGACACTACCCTCGAAGCTATGTTCCTCCTTGCTTTCTTCGGCTTCCTACGATGCTCAGAATTCACCACCACCTCCTCTGCCTACGACCCTTCCCGGCACGCAAGCCTATCCGACATTGCCGTTCACTCCACAGACTCACTCAGGTTCAATCTTAAAAGGAGCAAAACAGACCAGTTCGGCCTTTCTCATCCCATATTCATTTTCCGCCTAAACTCCTACCTAAGTCCTTTTGAACCGATCCTAAACCACATCAACTGCAGACTACACTTCCACGCCTCCCCGCAAGACCCACGGCATACGATTCTGGTTCCATCACCATCTCCGTCTAGTCCACTCCTGCTGCATCGGAGCTGCTTCCTCCGCTGCCAGCCAAGGCATTCCGGACCCCACCATAAAAATCCTCGGCCGATGGTCCTCCCACGCATTCCTCAGTTACATCCGCAACGATCTCCGCGACATCACAGCCTAGCACAATAACTTGGGGTGGACGATCCATCAGCTGCTCCACAGCAAGCCTCTACAGAGACGAGTCCCCACCCTGAGTCTCGACCCCCGAGGTCTCAGTAGCACATACGACCCTCTCATCCACCTTCCCTAAACTCCTTTCATCCCTTTCCCCTCGACCCCTTTCATCAGTTCCCTCTCGACCCCTCCTCATAAACATGATCACATAAACCACCTCTAACTTGGCGCGGTCCTGTTAGTGAATTTGGGTTTACAGTGTATGGTATGAGAACAAGAGGCTGACTAACCAAGACAATGTCTCTGACACACCAAGCTGAACTCAAATAAGTAACAACAACCGATGGAAGACCTTTTATGATCCTTTTAGTATTAATACCACATTATGTAAATGCGTTGTACTTGTATAGCGCCTTTCTAGTCTTTTCAACCAATCAAAGCACTTTTACACTACATCTGCATTTACCATTCACACACATTCATACGCTGGCGGAACAGCCGCCTGGCTGGCAAGGACACTTCGACATGTAGCTTGGGGGAGCCAGGATTGAACCGCCGACGTTCCGGTTAACGGCCAACCCGCTCTATCTCCTGAGCCACATCCACCCCATTATGAAAAAAGTCCTGCATTCTTAACCTCCCTTAACTTACAGTATTGAAGTATTATCATCGAAATGTACTGAAAGTATCAAACTAAAAGTACTAATAGTGCAGTAAAATGTTCACTGTCACCTCAGTATTTTGTTGAATTAATATTTCTGCTGCATGTGTATGTTGCATTTTATTGCTGTAGATGTTTAATATTGAGCTAATTTTAACTACTTTATACACTTTTTGGTAGTTTAATCTACAGCAATGCACCATATCCCATAAGATCATGTTTGTAGTGTGTGTGTGTGTGAGAACCACATATCTGTAAAATGTCAACTTTTCATGACCTGTAAAAATAAGACATTTTCAGCTTTGTGATGATGCATTTTCCAGCTGATGTAAGGCGGTTTAAATAGTTAATTTAGCTTACAGATAGGGAAAGTGATACTAATCGTATGTGTTTTTGTCACACACACAGCACGGGTTCTATAAATGGGAAACAATGCAGTCCCGCACTCCGCCACACTATTGCAGCCGTTCCAGCCATCTAACATTAAATAACTTGCCAAGACATGCTGTTGTTGTGATGTTAGCTATACTAGCAGGAGAGCTGTGAGCATCGCTGTTTGGATCTGGAACCATCTTGTCCTCTCTGCATGCTGGCTTTGCAGCATGAACTGTAGCGTCAGTATGCTAACCCACAATTTAGCCAATGTTTGTTACAATACTTGCTGTGTCATTGTTAGCTCTACATCATGGTATTTGTCATGTTGTTGGATTTCTCCAGAATCGCTTACTCCACCTTTAGAAAGGAGGACAATTTTCTCAACCTATAAAGGAACACCTCATTCTTCATTTTATCACAAACATGTGGAGATACATGGTTTTCACTGGACTGGAAGGGGATGAAAATTTTTAATCTGCAGACTAACCAGTAACTAAAGACAACAGAAAAGTATAGTTTCTAAGTTGCATAAAATGGATGCAAGTACCTTGAATTTGTACTTAAGTACAAGACTTGAGTAAATGTACTTAGTCACATTCCACTACTGCTGGTCAGACACAATTTGTCACCTTATGTCTCCAGCAGAGACGCCCGGTGAGAACCAGCATGCCTGTTCTGCACCTGTGTGAATAACTCTTGAAATCAGCTGGGGCCAGTAAGAGGGTTAACTGTTTGCTTTGCTCAGAGAGACCAGAGAGCTCCCCCTCACTGACTTGCTCCATAACAGCTGTAATCTGAATGTGTTCTGTGTTCTTGTCCTGTTTCTAGGTCTCCCTGATCTGGTTCCTGATCCATACTACATCCAGATCGCCACCTACGTCCAGAGAGTACCCATGTACAACCTCCGCTGTGCTGCTGAGGAGAACTGCCTCGCCTCGTAAGGCTGAGATGACTTGCGCTGAAATGCAGCTTTTATGCCTATAGACTTTTATCAGACACATTTCAATTTTATATGGAGGGATGTTGTAGAGTTTCACAAAGTGGGAAGTACTAACTGTGAAAAAACAAAGTACTTTGCCACTTCCTGAATTAACTTTGATGAGGGAGGTTCGAGAGTTTTGGCTAACCATAACCATACCATATGCACAATCTTTTTTAACCTTAATCATACAGCAGCTGCTCAGGTATTGTAGAAAGCGGGGACGAATGAAAAACTTTTCAGATAAACATAATTTTAAAATATAACGTTGCAGACAGAAATAATTTGTTGCTGTCATCAACAACTCATGTTTGTGTTTGTCTATCAATACCAGGTGTTATCTTGTTAAAATGTGGAACGACTTCAGTATAATTTCACTTTGAAGGAAAAGTGCGCATTGTTTCATTCATCCCTACTGTGCGGGACGGATGAAACACGGGGGTGGGACGGAAGAAACACAACGATATACATTTAAATAGTTTTAAGTTATTCTTGTTTTTATTTAGAAAGCTTGACACTGCTCTTCTTAATACGTAATTACAAACTCATTATGCCCTTTTTCTTAATAAAAAACAGTATAAATATAATTTTGCTAGCTAACTAGAAAATCTAACAGCTAATGCACATTTTGATCAGATATTGGCTGCCTTTTTATGTACATCTGCAGCCTGTTTTCCTGGTCTACTGTGAAGACCCTGTTATTTGGCTGTGAGTACTCTGGTGGTCCACCCTGCAGCCTAGTGTACTCTGCCCCCCTCCCGCCGTATCAAAATAAGGTAGAATGGCTGCGTGTTGGGACAGTGACTCTTGACGTTTAAACTTCACTAGCTTCTAAACTGCAAAACTTTGACATTTAAAGTTTACAGTTAAAGTACTAACTAATCTTTCATATGATCATGACCATGACACATGAAACAATAAACACAACTCGTCAATAAACACAAAAAATGATCGCCTGAGTGAATTTACTTTCCGTGATTGAAAACAGCTTCTTTCACCTAACTCCGCGAAAGTGTGACTTATCCACCGGATTTTTCCCGGATCTGTTATGTGCTGAGGTAGTTTGGCATATTAGATTTGTATGGGCTCCGAGAAAATCACTGTGGTTCATTCACCCCGCGTTTCAGTCGTCCCGGCTCTCCCCTACTGCTTTTCCAGTACTATATTATAGTTCTGTGACTCCTGTATGGCAGCTTTGCTTGATTCAAAGTTAAAAAAATATTATTTTTTCTTATACATACTCGTCATATAGGCCTTCATTTCAGCCTCTGTCTGAAACAAGCTGTAGATGCTCCTATCTCTTTAAGGCCCCCCTCTCAAAGCCCACTGTCTTCTGATTGGCCAAGACCTGAAGCATATTACCAGGCTGTTGTTGTCACTGGGTGGAACAGCCAGACTGAGCGTTGCTGTGCTGTTACTGTGCGGGGCAAATGGCATATATGGAACAACGGCTCCGTCTGGCTCGGTATTACGTAGAATATAGCCCTTGGTACAAAAAGCAGTTTAAAACAGAATGTTCATAACAGGAGGAAATCTGAGGTTTATGCTCACAGGGATTTGAACATCCAACACTGTAACATTATAGATATGTCATAAAATGTTGAAAAGCATAATAGGTCTCCTTTAAATCTGGGGTAAGCATTTTATTTCAGAAGTATTTTTTGATATTTGTTAAAATTATGTTTACTTAACCAACAGCAATCAATAAATTTAATGCTCCAGGGAAAACAATTTAAAGGTTTAGTGTGTAAGTTTTAGTGACATCTAGTGGTAAGGGTTGCAAATTCCAACCACCAGCTTGTTCACATGCTACTCAGATGCTCCCATTTCCCGAGTTCAGGGTGTGTTCATGAGCTATTAAGTCGAGATGTGGAATCAACATGGACGCTACTACAAAGATGTGTTGGATTAGTATTATCAGAGCATATAAACAACACGCAGACATCTAGTTGACTCTACATGGACAGCAAACTAACTAGAGTTAATTAATTAGAAACATGGCGCCGCAACATGGCGACTTCCATGGCGAGGACCTGTGGTGTATTTAGATAGAAATGGTAATAAGGTAATAAAAACATAATGGTTCATTATGTAAGGTCTTTATATACCACTGAAAACATAGTTATGGATCACATGAATTATATTACATTTCTGTCAGTAGATCCTCAGAAATATTACACACTGAAATGTGTCTGTGGCTGTCGTAGGACTGTTCCAACCACAGACCACTGATACTTTACTGTAAGTTTGTTCTTTATTTTGCCTTTTACATTTGGTAACATTCAGGTCCCAGTTAATGGATTTTGAAAATATTAACATGTATTTAAATATTCACCTGCAAATTGTCATCCTGTTTCCTCTTCTATCCCTGTCTGCTTCCCTTTCCTTTCCTGTGCTCTGCTATTGTTTTCTCTCCTCTCCTCCCATCTTCCTCTCTTCATCCCCTCCCTTCTCTTCTCCTCTCCTCCCATCTCCTTGATTCCTCTCCTCTCCTTGACTTCTCCATCTCCTTGCCTCCTCTCCTCTCCTCCTCCAGTTCCTCTACTTACTCTCAGGATTATGACACCAGAGTTTTGTTGAGGTTTCCTCAAAGGGTGAAGAACCAGGGAACAGCTGACTTCCTGCCCAGTAAACCTCGATATGCCTGGGAGTGGCACAGCTGTCATAAGTAGGTAGCTAGTAGTAGCTAGCAGGAGCAGTTTAACACTTACAGGAGTCCTTTGTTAAATAAAAGGGTTTGTAAACTTTCTGTCTTTTGTATTGTTGTTCAGTCACTTCCACAGCATGGACGAGTTCAGCCTGTATGAGCTGCTGGACCCCCACTCTCAGAGGCAGGTCGCCGAGGGTCACAAGGCAAGCTTTTGTCTGGAGGACACTTCCTGTGACCCGGGATACTACCGCCGCTTCGCCTGCACCTCACACACTCAGGTACACACACACACACACACACACACACACACACACACACACACACACACACACACACACACACACACACACACACACACACTTGTCTGCTTAAGTTATTGACCTGCATTCATTTCTTGAAGGCTTATTAACCTATGAATACAAAAAACATTTTGGCATATACTGAACATGTGGACACTTGAACAAAACATTTGACGATATCAGTGTTGTCCCCATTAGACATGTTAACTCTAATCAACTGATTAAAAATTTTGGTCCCCAAATATGACACAGTAGATCCACAAACAAGGGCGTGAGGAAAGGAATAGAGCACACGTTTTAAAATGTGTGTGCTTCATTCTTCTGTGCAACGCTATGTTAGAATAAAGGTATAGAAGAACACAAGTTATTTTCAAACATCAATAAAAATGTACTAAATAAGCATATAACCATTTAGATATGAACATTGTACTGGAGTGTGTTAATTAGTTTTTTTATGCGTGTGTGTATACAGGGTTTGAGTCCAGGTTGTTATGACACCTACAACGCTGACATTGACTGCCAGTGGATCGACATCACTGACGTCACCCCTGGAAAATACATCCTCAAGGTCTGGTAGCTACCAAGCATTTGGGGTGTTTTTTAAAAATAAAGTCACCAGAAAAATGCACAAAATGTGGATTAATCCACATAGTCCCCAACAAGTGAGTAACGTTTGATAAAATCTAGTGTCCGGCTGTTTTACTGAGCCTAATACATCCTTTAACCATTAGCTTCAGGAGAACTGACTTCATGTACTAATGATGATATAATGTTGTGATATCTTGGCAGGTGACTGTAAACCCCAGGCAGCAGGTTCCAGAATCCAACTTTAATAACAACGTGGTTCGTTGTGATGTCCAGTACACCGGCACTGCTGCTCACGTCTCTGGATGCACCATGACATCGTAGGAAACTCTTCTTCACTTATTACTTTAAGCTTTATTGCAGGTTTACTGTTTTTGCAGAGACAGAGGGAGTGTCAATGATTGTGATCAATTCAGCTTCACCTTACAGATTTGAGATGTATGTTTTATTAAATCACATTAAAACATACTTATTCAGATTTGTGAATATGAAAATGACAATTAAAATTCAGACATAATCTCTGATCAAACTCTTTCTGTAACATCACTCACTTCTGGCTGGTTGTTATCACAGTTAAAGGGGCTATATGTAGTTTTCAGTGGTAGTTTTATAAATTGCTAGTTTTAAAAACGCTCAAACTCATGAGCGAGCAAAATCCAATGCACTTTGACAGACTCACCAAGTGACAGCTTCACACAACATGCTGGAAACTTAGATAATCTCCCACTGCTCGTTCCATGATAATATTACATTGAGTGCATTTAGAAGAAGTAATACATTGGCATTATCTCACCTGCCTGCGTTATTTATCTTTCACCGCAGACTCAGCAATGTGAGCACAGCTAAATGTTTTGGATGTTAACAAAATGGTTAGTGAACTCGATGATTCTAAATAAGATTGTTGCCAACCGCAGTAAGTAACATTGCTGTAGTGAATGGGTCTTCCTCTGTGTTGTTGTCATGCACCGTTAAGTTGCATTATTGTAAATTATTTGGGTCACGTAAGTTACAGAGACTGAGACGGTGGAGTGTACCTGAGTGTCAGTAAAACAATAATAAATCTAAATTTTATGTCACAAAGCAAACAGCGGCAGATCTGTAGAAATGTTAGCTGGCTGCGCCTGCTTGGCACAGGATAGTAATAAGGGTTGCGTTAGCTGGTGAAGTAATATGGAAAGCCATACAACTAAGTTAGAGGCTAGTATTTTGCAATGCAGGGATAACGTTAGCAACTTGTTGGTGTTAGCCGGCAAGCTGGCATTATCTACCTTGAGTCATCTAAAGCACAACATCACAATATGTTTCACATGCTTGCAGTAATGTTAGTTTACCTGTCCAATTGGTTTTGTCAGTTCCAAAACAAAGCGGAGGTCTCTCTATGACTCAAGTCTTTCTGATGTTGACAGTGTTTTCACCCGACATCAATTTGATTCTCATTTGGCTTGAAGGGCATCAGCTTCAGCACATTAAACTTTGTTATTGTTTTTAATCTTTATGTGGAGTTTGTGTTGAAGTCTGTGTTGCGCTGTGAGCCAGAGGCTCAGGAGTGTGCATATAGAAAATCCGAGCCGATTCCTTCACATAAGAAGCAGAATAGTGGCTGTTCTATTTCGTATAGGCTTCGCCCTCTAAGGCTATCACTAGTGGGTTTACCCACTAAGAGAAGTTGTCCACGCCCACCCACAGCATGGGCCTCTCCTACGTCCGCACTTTGTATACATACAACGGTGAGACCTGGCCTTCGGCTCCCATTTTTCTTCAGCACTGAGCTGTCTAAAGAGCAGAAGATTTCCTGTCGGAAAAGAAGAGCGATGTCTTCTAGCGGGACGCTGCTACATCAGTACGGGTGTGCGGCGTCCGTGACACGGGCTTCGTCCTGCTGGGGGACTTCCATCCCCCATGCTGGGTTGTGCCTCGGACCGTAGCACGTCGGCCGAGCGCTCACCCCAGCTCACGCTGCTCGTTCTGCGACCTTCTCTCCCCTGAAGAGAAGTAGCGCTGGGCGGATCATTTTGCCGGTGAAGATGAGGTGGTGTGGTGGTCCACCCACTCTCTTGACGAAGCCCTCGACCTGTTGCTATCGGATGAACAGGAATCCCCCAGCGGCTCCCCGCTTCCCCCGTTCCAACCTCCGGTGACGCCGACCTCAACGTTGCTATGTTGCAAGCGATTGTTATGCTACAAGGATGCTACCGTCAGGCTAACGTTAAGCTAACAGGTAGCTAACGTGTAGCTGACATACGGTCTGTCCCTAGATCACCCGACCAGAGAGACCCCATGTGTCCACGTTGCATTAGCTGTGGCTAATGACATCTAGCAACCGGTTTCATTGCTGCTGGCTGATCCTCGTCGGTCAGAGCAGACCACTGATAAGCGGCATGGTTACGGGAGGCTGTGGCTGCCCCTCCTCATGCGCCCCCCCCCCCGGCGACTGTGTCTGCCAGGGATGTGGTACGGTGGACGACATATGCACAGCGGCTCCCTGGTCGTCCCCGTGCTCTTTCGTCCGTTTCTACCTGTGGGATGTCTGTTTCTCGCTGACTCACTCAGTACTGAGTGTTTTGGCTGAGTGATTTTTTCCCTTGTGAGTGTGTGATGCGCCCTCTCCCACGGGACGGTGGGGGGGAACGGCCACTGCTCACATTTGGCCCTGCTATGTGCGCAGCTGATGTGGTCGCTGTTGTGACCCCGCCTGCTTCTGTACAGGTGCTGGGCGACCCATCCAGTTCATCGACTATTATACATTGGTTGGTCCCCTGCCTCCCATGTCACGCCATCGGTGCTTGTGCGCACGTCGACAGGATAGCACTAGCACAAGCGGACAGCCGGTGACTAGGTGGCTCATTTATGGCTCTGGGCAGGTGGGTTTTGTGCTTGGTGGTACCGTATGGGCCAGTGAGGTGTTGACTCATCCTGCTTCGCCTCTAACCCGATAGCGATAGCCTTAGAGGGCGAAGGCTATATGAAATAGAACGGTAGTTACAGATTCTATGAGTATAGGGGCAGCCCTCTAAGTTTTAGGCCTCACTGGACCTTGGTTCTCAGTGCTGAAGAAAAGGCATTTTGGGAGCCGAAGGCCAGATGTCACTAATATATCCAAGGTGTGGACGTAGGAGAGGCCCACACTGTGGGTGGGCGTAGACAACTTTTCTCAGTGCCGTGCAGGTGCGCGGAGGGGAAAACCCGATAGTGATAGCCTTAGAGGGCTGTGCCTATACTCATAGAATATGGAGTTACAGTACGTAACTACTGTTCCAAGCAACAAGAGAAAACAGGCGTGTGGTTCATTTATATGTGAGGTTACAGCCTGTTGACAAAAAAAAGTGATTTCATTGAAGAACTACATATTGCCCATTTAATATAGTAGTTATATAGTTTGGCGTGCGTTTCGAAATGAGCAGCAAAATGCAATGGACTCTTCTTAACATTTTGTGGACTTTTGAACTTGTAATTGAACACAATTAGATTGTATCTACAGCTTATTTTAAATGACTGAAATATTTGATCAACTTCTGTCAGAATTGCTTTGATGAAATAACTTAAAAAGAGACTTTTTTTTGTTTTTTTACATTTTGTGGGTTATGTAAGAATTAAACTTATCCCAAATTAACCTAATAATAATTTTCTAAAGCAGGTTAAATCATCTCCAAAAAAAAGAAACCACCTGAAGCACAGCACTGTGGAAGAATTATTTTTTAATAAAAATGAATAAAATATTGTCTGTATTATGTAAAGTCACAAACCAAGTAATACAAGCACATTCACATCATAACCATCTCCCTTGTTTCCACGTTCCCTTTTGCCCTGTCATTGTATCGTAAAGACAGACACCATAATAATAAGTTCATCATTTATGTATTGGCATCACAAACATCATTCATTCATTTCTTCAATTCAAAGCTTCACACACCAAAGCCATAGTGCCATTATAATCACTCTGCCAGTTTTACATTTATTGTCCACTTGATGGCACACTAGAGCAAATGAAGCAATGCTTCATGGAGCTTCATTTCGCCATCACTAGTACAGGTGCTGGTCATATAATTAGAATATCATGAAAAAGTTGATTTATTTCAGTAATTCCATTCAAAAAGTGAAACTTGTATAATGTATACATTCATTCCTCACAGACTGATATATTTCAAGTGTTCATTCCTTTTAATTTTGATGATTATAACTGACAACTAATGAAAACCCCCAAATCAGTATCTCAGAAAATTTGAATATTGTGAAAAGGTTCAATACTGAAGACACCTGGTGCCACACCATAATCAGCTAATTAACTTAAAACTGCAAAAGCCTTTAAATGGTCTCAGTCTAGTTCTGTAGGCTTCACAATCATGGGGAAGACTGCTGACTTGACAGCTGTCCAAAAGACGACCTTTGACACCTTGCACAAGGAGGGCAAGACACAAAAGGTCATTGCTAAAGAGGCTGGCTGTTCACAGAGCTCTGTGTCCAAGCACATTAATAGAGAGGCGAAGGGAAGGAAAAGATGTGGTAGAAAAAAGTGTACAAGCAATAGGGATAACCGCACCCTGGAGAGGATTGTGAAACAAAACCCGTTCAAAAATGTGGGGGAGATTCACAAAGAGTGGACTGCAGCTGGAGTCAGTGCTTGAAGAACCACCACGCACAGACGTATGCAAGACATGGGTTTCAGCTGTCGCATTCCTTGTGTCAGGACACGGCGTCAGAAGTGACTCACCTGAGCTAAAGACAAAAAGGACTGGACTGCTGCTGACTGGTCAAAGTTATGTTCTCTGATGAAAGTAAATTTTGTATTTCCTTTGGAAATCAAGGTCCCAAAGTCTGGAGGAAGAGAGGAGAGGCACAGAATCCACGTTGCTTGAAGTCCAGTGTAAAGATTCGACAATCAGTGATGGTTTGGGGTGCCATGTCATCTTCTGGTGTTGGACCACTGTGTTTTCTGAGGTCCAAGGTCAACGCAGCTGTCTACCAGGAAGTTTTAGAGCACTTCATGCTTCCTGCTGCTGACCAGCTTTATGGAGATGCAGATTTCATTTTCCAACAGGACTTGACACCTGCACACAGTGCCAAAGCTACCAGTACCTGGTTTAAGGACCATGGTATCCATGTTCTTAATTGGCCAGCAAACTCGCCTGACCTTAACCCTATAGAAAATCTATGGGGTATTGTGAAGAGGAAGATGCGATATGCCAGACCCAACAATGCAGAAGAGCTGAAGGCCACTATCAGAGCAACCTGGGCTCTCATAACACCTGAGCAGGGCCACAGACTGATAGACTCCATGCCACGCCGCATTGCTGCAGTAATTCAGGCAAAAGGAGCCCCAACTATGTATTGAGTGCTCTACATGCTCATACTTTTCATGTTCATACTTTTCAGTTGGCCAACATTTCTAAAAATCCTTTTTTTGTATTGGTCTTAAGTAATCTTCTAATTTTCAGAGATACTGAATTTGGGATTTTCATTAGTTGTCAGTTTTAATCATCACAATTAAATGAAATAAACATTTGAAATTTATCAGTCTGTGTGCAATGAATGAATATAATATCCAAATTTCACTTTTTGAATGGAATTACTGATTACTTAAATATTCCACAGATGTAACTCAGTTGCCTGTTCTTTAGAAAACAACTGTGAATCTGGATAAATACAGACATAAGAATATTTCACAACTTCCTTAAACCTTGTGGTTCCTTTAGTTACTATGGAAAAGAAGAACAAGAGTAGATTTTAAAACTGGAAACAACAGGACATAACATTATCTGTATTTAAAAATCAATACTTTCTCTATCAGTGGTTTGATTGTATTGTTCTTTTGTTTCTTGCAGCTACTGAGATGAATTCTGCAAACAGGCAACGCTACAGAAGAATAAAGCTCAAAGTTACATGTGACTTAAATAATTCAATTATAACCTGATTAGAGTAAAAACAGGCCGGGTTCTTTTAGTCTAAATGAAGCCTGATTTAAAGTTTTTCAAATTATTGAGGCAAATATTCATGTTAGAATTAATGGATGTGGGTTAATGCTCCAGGATTAAGTACATTTACTCTTTACTTTTTGAAACCTTAGTAAGTTTAGAGCTTCTAGATTGGGGTGCACCAGCTATTTGTAAATCCATGACTAAGTTTGTGTTTAAAGTCTCTAAGAGCGTAATAAATACTAACTAGTTTCAAATCACTGATTTAACATTTGAGGTAAGAAATGTCTTGTCTAGTAATGACTTTAGTGATTTGTAAATCTTTGCTAGGAACCATCTGTAGCAGCATCCAATCAAAGTGATCTATGCAAACTGTAAAATCACCAGCTGTAACTTAACTTTCAGTATAAGGGGGGCAAACATATTAAAATTTCCTGTCAGTCTGTTGTAAATGTAGGTATATCTGCTTTATTTATATCCATATTCATCATTTAAGGGGCAAGGCCATTAGTGTTGTAATTTTTGGAGGTCACACAGTTCAAATAACAGAGTTGTGAAGCCATCAGATAACACAATGATTTTAAGTCCACAGATATAATGATTGGGCCAACAAAGCATCTTGTGCTTTGATTTTTGTATAATGGGCTGCTCAAGCAGATCACATAGTGATTTCTACCGACGTTCTCGATTAGTCAAATTGATCAAACTTTCTTATCTCAGCTCAGTCGACGTCAGAAGTTCAGTCAGTCACAGCTTTACAGCGTGGGCACAGAAAGATCTCTATTAGTTAAACTAAATTTTATTCATATAGCTTCATTGCATAACAGACATTATCTCATTTCACTTAAGTCCCCTGGTTGGCTTGTGCTAGATTTGTGTCAAATTCTCATCATAAATAGCCCTGTTGATTTTGCTCAATAAGAATACAGAATCTCAACAAAAGACTGGTGTCTAAAAACTATATTGACAGGAAAGAGGCAGAGGACATAACTGAGCTGGAGCGGTGCGTGCAGGGCAACAAATTTTCATTTAGAAAACACTTTATAACTAAGCTAAGGGAAGTTTGAATTTACAAACAGGTGGTGCAACTGAATCCTGGAATCTTACTTGAGGATTTCTACTTTTCTTCCACTTCACTGCAGAGAAAAGTTCCACATTTATCTAAAACGCTGGAGTTACTGGTTAATTACATTTAATTTACTTTGCAGATTTAGTCTTTACATTAAATCTAAAAGATAAGCAGTTTCTGTTTTCCAAATGGGGGTACAATTATGGAAACTGACTGGGTCTATTTCATGAGAAACAATCACATACATTGCCAAAAGTCATAGGGTGGGGTTAAAAGTGAATTTGTTAGTTATAAAGCTTTCAGCCTTTATATTATTTGTTTTTCTCTCTTTTGATTCAGTTTTTTCATTGTGTATTTTATTTTTCAAAATGCATCTTGAGAATAGAAAATATTATTACCTTAATCTCTGATCAGTGAGGTGATAAAACCATTTATTAATGATCACAGAATAATAATGGTATCGTCCCAAATAAAAAAACAGTTATTTACATGCATGTTCTCTCTGGGCTTCCATAGACTTCTTTTAAACAATATATGATATAACTGACATTTTTATGCTAATTTAATGTTTAAAAATGAGAAATTGCACAATGACAATTTCTCAGAGAAAACTGACCCCAACAGTTTCTGTTTTAAACTTCCTGTAAGGAATGTAATTCATGAATAGTGTTTTTCTCTTCATTATTTGTCTTGTAGAGTAGATCTTTGTGTTTTGGTGCTAAAGGTCTTTTTCACTTTGTGACATTTTCTGTCCGCAAACTGAATTTAACCAAAAATCAGCAGCGGGATACTAAATGAGCTGCTGGACTACTGCTGGAAGTCACACTTACTAATGTGTGTGTTTCTGTTGGTGAACATTGTAACCTTGGTTCTCTGACTGTGCCCCAGTCTGAGAACCAAGAGAGGTATCTCTCCACACACTTGCATTTTCCATATTGACCCCATTGAGGAAATTGATGTGAATACCTCTTTAAGCCACACCATTAAGTGTCCCATGCATTCACTGATTATCAGCGATTTGAACGGTTTCAACGGCCTTGTCTCAAAGAGACTGTCTCTCCACACAGTAATTCCATATGTACGGGAACTCTGTAAGACCCACCTAGAGTAGCTCCTCAAGTACTCCCAAGGATCCCTGACCCTGGTTTTCAAATGAAAAGTCCCTACCACCAGAGTGCTCTAAACAGTGCATGTCAAAACAAACCCCCCCTGTGAAACTCACATTTGTTGGCCATTGACACTGCCAGGTGTGTCACTGGCCCATAGCCTTAGGCCCCAACCACACTACTCCGTTTTAGTTTATGGAGTAAATGGAGAATTAAAACGAATAAGATCTCCGTCCACACCAGTGTTTTAGCTGCGTATCAGAGCTAATCTCCGTCTACATTACAACGACTGAAAACGAACATCTATTGGCCGTTCAGGTACACTGGGCATATGCGTGCCGGTGTAAACATGAAGCAGATGGTCAGTAGTTAGACTACAGAAGATTTGACAAAAGAATAAAGAAATGCAGACAAAGAATCAGACCAGATTTTTTTTGCATGCACCAATAATGAGATGGGACTGTTTCTGAATGTAACACGGGACATTGGTGGCGGGAAACATACTGGGAGTCGTTGCAAAGTAAACAGCGACATGCACAGTAGCCTACAATTTTAGGCAGATAGGCCTAATTGGTATTTGCACGTACAGAATATTTTAATAAAAATACCAACTCAAAAACTCTGTTAGTAGCATCGTGTTTCTGCTTTGCATGACTTATAAGACCCAATCAGAGAGCCGAGCGTGAGCGTCTGCGTCATCATTTCTAAATTCCTCCGTTTTTGACTGTCTTTACTAAAACGCCCTCCGGAGTTCCGAAATGCAAAACGGGGTCGGCAACGTTTCCAAACTCCTCCGTTTTAGGTCTTTTTAGTCTGGACGGGAGGTGCAAACGTAACAAAAGGTCTCCGTTTTAATTTGAAAACGCATTAGTGTGGATGGGGTCTTAAACATGGCCAACATTGCAAAGGTTTGGTGTGAAAGGATAGAGGCCGTTCAGATGGCCTGCACACAGCTAGGCCAACTGACAAGAATACAAGACATCTTGATTAGCATATAGCAGCCGCACAAATGTCAGAGGGGCTGGCGCCCTGCCACAAGGCCCAGGATGTTTGGAATGTGCCCTCATTCCTACTCCCACCGGAGCGTCAGTACTATTGTGCTCCTGCTGAATTGTCTCTACAACCCAATGACATAACCTACTTTTAGATACTGGCCAAGGCACTGGGTAAACAACCAGCTGGTCTTTTTCCTGAATGCCTCTGTTCGTTGAATGTAGACCTAAGGGCTCTGACTGGGCATATCCTGGATCCCTCTTGAAACTCCTCACCCTCTCCCTTGGTGGGGCAGAGGGATTGCAGCTCCACCAAAAGATTCAGGTGAAAGTCTAGACAAAAAATCGGCATGGGAAGTTTTGGCCCAGGTGGCCCACCACAATCGGATGGACACCCCGCACCTATAAACCATCTATGCTGTCCCCATAAATATGTGTACCTACTGTAATATTCCCCCAAACTACTGTAAAGCTGAGTAGTAAGTTCTGTAGATAAGTGTACCAGTGCAAGTGGATCAGCGTACACATTCACTTTTTACTGGTGATCAGAGGTGGCCATGAAGTACACAACTAATACCCAAGTAGAAGTAATTACAAGTAAGTAATTGTCAAAGAGAAGAAACTCTGCTTGGAGTCACAGTATCATTTCCAATTAGTATTAGGTCCAGAATTGTTGGAATTCCCTAACAAAGCTGCATAGTTTCAACAAAAATATACTGGGAATGAGCAAATAGCTGTTTATTCAATTAATGGATAGATTTACCAGTTTTATTAAGCGATGTGATTGGGCTGCCCACTGTCAGCGTAGAAAATAACCCAATGGGCCATTACCTTTCCCTACTTTCTGGTCCAGTTGTTGGCCCATTTTTACATTTGTTTTTTACAATTAATAAATAAATGAATTTATATTATACCTGTCCACTAAGCAAATGCCCAGTATGCCAGATAACCAGTCCAGCCCTGCTGCACAGTGTAAGCCTCTGAGAACCTTTCAGGAACTGTGAGATTAAGCTGCAGTCACCCTTAGCCAGCATATTACCCCCCAATATGGTGATTGCTGTTAAACCCCAAGGGTTGAACGTAATTTACTTCCCTCAAGTAGCCCCTGCAGATACCGGAGCGCCTCTGGAGCTGTGGAAACTCAGTTCGCCCATTGATTTATTTTAAATTTTCTAGTCCTATTATTATTATTGTCAATATTACCATCATTATTAGTACCATTATTCATTTTCTGTCTGTACCACTACCACTTTACTGTATTTCTGTCTGCATATTATGTTGGCATTGCCCCCAACCAGTCAAGGCAGCCCACCCTGAGTCACTGTTGTGTTCTACCACCTAAAAAGGAGTTTTCCTTGCCTGTGTTACCAAGTGCTTGGTCATGGTGGAAATGTTGGGTCTCTGTTAATAATATTACAAAAAGTATGGTCTAAACCCACCCAATATGAAACATTTAATGAAATAACTTTTGATTTGAATTGGGGCTATATAAATAAAAGAAAACTGAATTGAATTTATGGTGCTTGAGCACTCTGCATGGTCTGAACCACTGACTGCGCAAGCTCCATGCCTAAAAGACCACGCTTCTCAGGGGCCAGGCCCAGAGTTTGAGCTCATGTGGAAAGGGATTGAATTGGATCCCCAGTGCCTGACTCAGAAGGTCCTGGTGAATACGATGTTCCGATGGCCACCCATCCAAGAGAGGTGTCACCCCTGAGAAGCATGTCATGTGAGGCTAGTTCTGGGCCACCAGGATCAACCTAACCTGGTCAGAAGGAGACTGAATAGACAGAAAGGGTACAACAGCCCCTGAGACCATTGGTGTGCTATAGCACTGCTGCCAGCATGCTGTCCATTTTTACAAGCAGTTGATGATGGCCCTTCAGACTGCAAGGTGCAGAAGGGCTTGATATTCTAGCTCTTCCAGGACCAATTTAAGCCCCTACTGGTGCCCTTGCCATCATGGATTGCATCCAATCCCACCAGGGATGCAATCACAGAGACTACCTGGCGATGCAGTACTGGACCGAACATAGTTCCTTTGGATATGTCGGCTGGGGTTTTCCCACAACACACACAGCCTCTTGGTGAGCAGCACTGTGGCCTGCAGGTGTCTCTATAGGCAAGGTCCCAGGCGCAAGAGATCCCTTTGAACCAGACACATGTGCACAAGAGCCAGTGGCACCACTTGTGCTTACGCTGCCATAAGGCCCAGGGATAGACAAAGCCTCCAAGTAACCATGGTTCCCAGCCGAAAATGAGTAAAACTGATTTTGAGGGATTCCTGCCTCTTGAGTCAGTGTTACAAACACAGCCCTAATATCCAACCACATGCCTAGAAACAGGTTGATGACGTTGATGCACAGTCCCATCCTCCGGATGTGTGCCAATAGCACCAATGTATGGCGATGACACTGTCTGAGCACATATCAACCAATTGTTGCGGGTTCAGGATCCTACTGTTGCAGAGGCCCCAGCACCACATCTATACATCTGATGAAGGTGCTGGGAGATAGTGAGATGCTGAACAGGACAACACAGTACCATTCAGCAACGGTAAGACTTATTTTTCTAATCTTTCTTCCAAACTTGAAGTTGATAGTCACGTCTCCTACTATAGTAAAAGTCAGTGAATCAGTGAATACATGCACACCTCTGCCTTATAAGCCTGAGCATGGGCCACATATGTGGTATTTCTTAAAGAAGTATTCATGTCACCTGTCTGTTCTCGTACAACTTTGTGGTGAGATAATCTCGATATGATAGAGAACACTGTATAGGGTGTTTATACAGAGTGCACAGTGTGTTTACTTATACTTGACAACCTGTAACCACACATACCTGCAGAGCTGTATATAAGCAAGCTCACATCTCATGTTATAAACCTGCATTATTGCTTCCTATTACGTTAATAAAGCTTGCTTGAATGTGAACCGTGTTAAGTGTGACTCATTCCAAGCCATATTATATTTCCATTCATATTTAATGTATGTTGTGGAAAAAAATATATCACCAATACAACAGCATCTGGCCCAACAATGATAAAAAAAAATGTTGTTTTGTAGGTATTCTTGATGGTATTTTAGAGTTTGTCATTTCCTGAAAAATTTTAAAATGTAAGGTTTGTAAAGTTTTTGGCCAGGGGCGGGGGACCCAGCAGGGATCACTTAGCTTCATCACTTAGCTTCATCACTTAGCGTCTCTCACCACCTTGCTAAACCTGTACTTTGACTCCCTTAACCTCTTTTCCAACCAGCTGTCTGAGTTTAGCTGTGTACCAGGATTTGTCATTATTGTAACTCACCCTGGTGCATTGTGGTACACAGTAGCAGTCCTAAAAACATCCCACTCAGTACAGTCCAAGAATGCCAAATGTCCTCCATAGCTTCACTGGGGCATAGCTTTGATGTCCTCACTACAGGTTTAGAGAGCTTTCATTTCTGCCTGAATGCAGGAATCAAGTGGACTATTCCTTGGTCAGAGTGTCCCAGTGCAGTGGGGTGGATGGCATAATAGCAGGGTTGGGATGATTACTTCAAAAATGCAACCCAGTACCATTACTAATTACTTGTTTAAAAATTTAATCAGTAACACAGATACCACAAAATAAAGTAATGTAATCGGATTACTTTTAGTTATTTTGGATTACTTCAATGCCAAATGGACCAAGGAAGAGTATCAATAATGTCTTGTTTGCTCAATGTTTTTTTAGAGAAACACAGAATAACAAAATCTCCCATTCCCATGAAATCAAGATCCATGTTTAAATGTTTTTATATGATCTGCTTTGCACTGTCACCACTATGGCAGTATCTGGCCCATCAATGATGAAATGCAAAATGCTGTTTTGTATGTATTCTTGATGATATTTAAGAGTTTGTCATTTGGAAAAACATTTTAAATAGTTGAGTGTATTAATTTGACGTCCAATGAAAAGATTTCTCAATATAATGCTGCTGAAGCTTAGTGTTTCTGGGACCGGGCCCCACTGATTACTTTACAAAAACACAACTTTTTTCACAGATTTTGGTGGAACTGGATCATTTTTGATGGAGAAATATAAATACAAATATGGATAAAATATTTTCTAGTTTTCTCTCTGATGTCCCCCTGCTGCTCTGCCCCAACTCTGTGATTCACAGAGTTTCCTGATGTTAATAACAGCTAACTAGCTGCTGTTTTGTTTTTGTTTGTTTGTTCAGTTAGCTGTGCAACCACTGGTCAAATTAGCTTACTTACGGAGCACCCGGGGAGTGTTAGTGTTTACCATAGACCGTGTAAAGCACTGGAGGTTTTCAGGACAGAGGCGGGGGGACCCAGCAGGGAATGATGGCAGGGTGCGGCGCCTGATTGGGAACTGGAGCTGGGCAAACGGGCAACGAAACCATCCTCAGCAGGCTCCCAGTGAACCTCAAACACCAACAGGGAATCCAGTACTAAGATGATTTACAAAGAGCTTCTTGATGGACATAAGAACTTGATGGATAGCTTTACGTTTAGCTAAACCACTAACTGCAGCCTATCTGCCTGCATCTGTGGCTGGTTAGCTCAGTCGGTTAGCTGTGCTGCTAGCGATTCTATTAGCTTACTCAGCACTGGCGTGCCAAGAGCCAAACTTGGCAAGTAAACCACCTCGGGACTGTATTACCAGTGGTCAAAATGGCCTCTGTTGGTCTCAGAGGCTGTGTTTGGTCCTGGTCCAGCTGCCGTGTTCACTCACTGAGAGCTGGAATAAGTCATGGTCAACACATTCGGTGCTTCTGGCGACTGTAAATGTCAATCAATGCCTGTGACACGTCCCTTTCTAGCTTTGTGTTTTTACAGAAACACGCACATACAGTATACCATAGACACAAAACACATACAGAGGCAAATAGCACTGCGTTTTCTGTTTCATGGAAACTTTCTACTTAAAGTAATACATGTGAGTAACCCCAGATTTTTCAAAATGTACCTAATCTGATTCCGTCTTTTTTTCTGTACTGTAACGGAATACAATTAATTGTTTTTGTATCCTGATTACATAACCTGTAATCCGTTACTCCCCAACCCTGCGTAATAGGCAGTGATCCAGAACATTCTCCTCTCTGGTCAAACATTTTTTAAACTCATTGTATTCGGGGAGTTAATGGCTAAGATTTCTTTTGTTAAAGTCAACAAGGACAATAACTAAGGAGTCTGGGTTTGTCTGCTCCACATGCAGTATCAGGGGCATTAAGCAGAGGTAGCGTGGTTGCATGGGGGCAGCCAACCCAGGGCCCCAGCTGGGTAGGGGGCCCCCTACGTTGGCCGTGAAGTTTGGCTCAGTTGAATGTGGACACAGATGAATGACAACTCTGCATGCAGTTCCCCTTTACCGGTAAAATTCAGCAGCTCTTATCAAATGAAACGGTCCCTTCACTTCTGGTTTCAATGGTAAACCACACAAGAATGACAATTAACAACAAAAAACACTATATTCTAAGGAGACACATTCAAATAAACATAAATCATAAAGTAACACTTGTATTTCAAACAAATGGCAAACTTATTTGCAAAAAAAACGGATGTAAGCTGCGTGTGCACAGCGGTTTATTTATGCCGTCAAAGTCCAGTGCAGTTTGGTCGAATTTTGTGTGTTCTTACCCTGCTATTAATTAGTAGTCTGCTTTTTTTCTTTTACAACTGATGAGATATGGACCCAGAAGTAGAACTACTAAAATTAGATCACTATTTAACCATTTTGCACCACTTGGAAGTTCGGAAACTTAATAAATTTTTTAGGACATTGCAACTTTTTTTTTTTTACACATGTCCAACAGTCTATAATCTTGAACAATCTTGAGTGTCATTAGTGTAATTAGTAATTCATGCAAACCTTGATCAATACTGCCCCCAATTTGTTTGGAACATGTGGCCAGGAATTGTGCCTTTAACTGACTGATAAAGATTGAATATCTTTAGGTTCTGAACATTTTCTGACATCTGAGATTAAACAACTGATCGAGAAAATAAAAGAAAGAACAATATATCATGAAAGTCTTTAGTTGCAATCCTTGATTATTACCCACCACCAAATTTACAGTACTCTTGGCTGTTTTTATTTTTAGATCCATCCTCTGGTCCTCCAGCCCATTGTTCCATTGTGTCTTTCCTCTCTCTTATTCATCTTTCTCTTTCCCAGCCATTTTCCCATCATTGTTCCTCATCACCAGAGTTTATATATGTATATCAGCCACCTCTTCAGTCCTTCCCTAAAGCCTTTGTGTTTTTCTGCCCCCTGCTGGAGCACACACACTGTAAAAAAAAATACTCCAGTAAAAGTACAAGTGCAACTAATAATTATTTTCACCATGGGTTAATTGACTGATCATTTTCTCCATTAATTGATTGATTGTTTGTTTTGTAAAAATTCAGAAAATAGTGAGAAATATCTATATATAATTACTCAAAGTGACACCTTCACAATGCCTGTTGTGTCCAACCAACAGTCCAAAAATCAACATTATGAACAATTATTATTAAAATCATTAAAAGGAAAAGCAGCAAACCTTTACATTTGAGAAACTGAAACTATGTAATGTTTATAAAGGAAAAATTACTTTAACTACTCATTTTCTGTCAATGGACTAACTGATTGATGGACTAATCATTTAAGCTGTACTTGTATAAACTGTTGGGTAGTTTAAATTTTAACAAAACATCATACTTTATTTCCTAAGTTTTGTGCAAACATTTTCATCTGTAACTGATTGGAACAATTCTATTGTTGTTATCATGCTGGAAATGATTAATATATCTGTGTGAGGATAACTGTGGTGCAGCTGAAACACATAATTGTAGCCTATACAAAAGTGAGTTTTTGAATATTAGCTGATGATAGTCTAAATGTATTTTGACAGCATTTCATTAAATACGAAATAAGCAAGATTTTTTAATGTAGAAAATACGTAGTCAGTCAGTTTGAGCCTAGACACAATTTCCACTGCAGAAAAGTATTATTATTATTAATTAATAGCCTACTGCAGTGGATGGCAATAGGCAGCCCGTGGACCAGAACTGGCCCGCCAGCAATAATATCTGGCCCAGAAAAATTAAAAATAAATAAATTGATAACAGCTGGCGCTTAAATAGATCACAGTCATGACCGCAACAGTTACTCACATAATCACTTCCTCTTAGGTGATTGTGCCTCTAAAATAAAAGCGCAAGAGCAGCAATGCTTCATGTCGAGTTTATTAAGAGCTTTTACTTTGAAGAGTTCTGAAGGACAATTCAAAAGAGTCTCTGCCTGCTTGACCCACCTCTGAAAAAGCCGTCAGTTAATGTGTGATTGGATTCTCCCGGAATTTTCTCAGGGAAATGAAAATAAGTGTCCATAGGTTTATGAAGGCGGCTCAAACGCCGGAACACGCACACAATGCAGCACATGCTTTATGTGAGCATGTGTTAAAGTGTCTAAAAGTGTTTATTAAATTTGTTTAACAAGGGAGAAAAAAATATCCGCAATAAGATGGGATCAATCTCACTATCTACCAATCGGGAGATCCACACAGTACCAACTGAGCTTATTTGCTATTTGCTGACCCCTGGCCTACAGGGTCAGACTGTGGCGTTACAATCACAGTCTTATCTGTTTGATTCATATTTTCTTCAGTTATTGCCACCTGCACTTTGTCCCGTCAGGTTATAGCTGAAAAAATATAGCCTACCTATTTAAAATCAAATGTATTAAGCTATAGGAGAACTCCAGCACTTCATCATTCATTTGGGAAATTCCAGTCTAGTAAATGATGAATGTGCTCCACTAAATAAAAACCTTAACGTAGTGACTCCTTCGCCCACTCCTGCATTTTAAATAGCCTATCATGGTTCGTGTTGTCCCCCATTTATATTTGTAGAGGCAGTTGATTAAAATGGAGGCTCTGCCTTTATTTACCCATTGCCATG